GGATGTAGGTTGAGCGGCGGCTGCCCCCACCCCCGTGTGTCATATCGACCCACTAGAGGCATATATATATATATCGTCACATGACTATCAGAGCGCAAAGGCGAAAAAAACAGAAGAAAACAAGAAAAAAATAATTCGTTTTTTTATCTTCTTTCTTACAACTCCACCGGTTCAGAAACTCTTGCGTATATACATATTATATACATACATATATATACATATTATATACATGTTTATACATCTATATACATTTGTAAGGAAGAAGATAAGAAACCGAATTCATTTTTTCCTCGTTTTCTTTCTGCTTTTTTCGCTTTTGCGCTCTGATTTTCTTTTGAGAATACATACAATACATATACATGTACACATATATACATATATACATATCTATGGTTATGGTAGATATCTTGTCTGCATCCCGGTTGGTTTTGTCCCGTTATTCGGTCTAAGCAAGTAGCGGTGCTTCATGTGGGATCAGTCATCCGGGGTTTTTTATTGTCTTGGCATCCTGGTTGGTTGTTTCCCGTTGTTCGGTTCGGCCTTTTGGAACGCGGGGCGGTGCTTGTATGTGGGAATCGTCATCCGGGATGGTCTTTTATACCGGTTTTCTGGGTTCTTTTTTATTTTTTTTGCAGACAAGAATGTTTTGACATCCTGGTTGGTTTTGTCCCGTCGTTTGGCCTGTGGACAGGGGCGGTGCTTGCATGTGGGACTTGTCATCTGGGATCTGTTTTGTTGCCGCCTGTTCTGTATTATTTGGCTGTTGCCTTCCTCTTTTCTTTGCCTCTTTGCCTTCTGGCTCTGTGCAAGTGGGTCGATATGACACACGGGGGTGGGGACAGCCGCCGCTAAACCTACATCCATCTGAACAGGGGGAGTTATAAGGAAGAAGATTAAATCATGAATTCATTTTTTCCTGTTTTCCTTCTTTCTTTCTTTTTCCATTTTTTCGCTTTTGCGCTCTGATATGCTTGTGACGATATATACATATCTCTACATGATATATACCATGGATATCTACGATACGTACATATACATATACATACACACATATACGTACGACGACAAAAAATTGAATTGGTATCTTTCTTGTTTCCTTTGTTTTCCTCGCTTTTTTTTGCGCTCTGATAATTTTGTGACGATATATATCCTCTCAATGGTGATTGGCGACGTAACTGCTCAGCATCGAGCATCGTTAGCGCCCCGCCGCGCAGCGGTCTGGCTTCCTCATCTCCTCCCCCCCCCCCCCCCCCCCAATCCAGCTTTCGTGCACTTGTCCGCCATATCCACTCCGTACCGGTACTTCTTCCACGACGGTATAGGCGAGGACTACCGTCTTCAGAGAGAGAGGAATGCAGAGCACATTGATTGACAAAGCAGAATAATAGACAGGAGGTCGTAGTGGAGAATCCGCTAGAGAGAGAGAGAGAGAGAGAGAGAGAGAGAGGACGACGCGTGATAGTCACAAGGAGACAGCGAAGGAAAAATCTAAATCCAGGGATGGGAGACATGGGGATCAAACAAGTCAGAGAGAAGGAGAGAGACATTGAGACACCGTGGGTACAGAGAGAGAGGAGAGAGGAGGGAGAGCGAGGGAGGGAGTGAAGGAGGGAAGGAGGGAGGCAGTGAGAGAATGAGAGAGAGAACCCTGGACAGGGTGTCGAGGGAAGCGGAAGAATTGGGCAAGGAACGGTAAGGATGACGGCAGATGAGAAGGAGGAGGAGGAGGAGGAGGAGGAGGAGGAGGAGGAGCAGGAGGAGGAGGGGAGGGAGAGATGAGGGGAGCAGACAATGAGCAACAAAGAGACAGAGAGATGTAGATGTGTCAAGGAAAATGACGGGAGAAGTGAAAAGTAGAGTATGTCCTGAGCGAGACACACTACATCAGAGAGAAGCGAAAGGTGCGCATCAGTCACACTACAGCAACGAGACTGTCTGAATCTGGCGGTAACGCCGTTCAGATTCATCAAGAGAAAAGTCCTTGTGCGCGTATATGTCATGCAAGGCGCCGCTTTCTCCTCTGGCATCTTGTACATGTTCAGACTCAAGATGACAGAGAAGGAGAAACCGGCGCCTTATGACATACTAGCACGAGGACGTTTCTTTTGATGAATCTGGGCGGCATTACCGCCAGATTCAGACGGAGAATTCGTAGTGTGAGTGGCCCCCTTCGTGCCACACTGCTCTAACCGCTGGCCGAAGCAAACTGGGCGTCCAAACCCCCGGATCCCGCAGACACCGCGCCGCATAATCATGACTGTATTTGAACCGGAATAAGGTCTGTATACATTCATGACGACACCGCGTTGAGTCCACGGGGGATGAACGACGAGAGTCACAAAAGCAGAGCGCACGCCGCTTGCCAATAACTATCTAACCTATCCTCCTTTTTGCGAAAGGTTTTCCTCTTTTTTTTCGTTTTTTTTCCCGTTTTTTTCTTTTTCTTCCGTTTTTTCCTTTTTTCCCTTTTTTTCCCTTTTTTCTTCTTTTTCTTTTTTCCTCTCGAGACCTCCCATTCCCTTTCACAAATCTATTTTCCTTTACCTCGGTTCATTCCATCCTTCCTCCTGCAGTTGACATCTTTCCTCCCCTTCCCCCCCCCCTCCTTCGTCCTCTGCACTTGGCCTCAGAATCTTCCCCCCTCCCCCTCCCTTCGTCCTCTGCACCTGGCCTCAGAATCTTTCCCCATCCCCCTCCCTCCCATAGTACTCCTTCCTCCTCACCCTGCTAGCCCTTGGGACATCACCGCCAAGGCCGAAGCACACAAGAAGCCCGAAGAGAGAAGTGCAGAAAGGAGGTAAGAGAAGGAAGGGAGGTAAGAAAGCAAAGGAGGAAGAAGGAGAACAGGGAAGTGCAAGGTGATGACGGTATGCAGACAAAAACTGATGAAGACGATGAAGAGACGAGGAGAAGGGAGGAGAGAAGGGAGGAGGAGAAGGGAGGAGGAGAAGGGAGGAGATAGAAGGAAGGTGGAGAAGGGAGGAGGTAGGAGGACAAAGTGCGGGAAGAGAGAAGCTTACCCGTGCTACTGCATAGGCACTTCTCAAAGGATGAGGAGGAAACATCGAGAAACAGGGAGAGAATCACAGAAACAAGGAAACGGTGAGGAGGATGGAGACGACGAGGTGGGAGGGGAAAGGGGTAGGAAAGGTGGGGTCTTGGGAGATGATGGAGAGGTGGGAGGTGAGACGAGGTGGCACAGGAGAGAGAAGTGGGAGGTGGGACGAGGTGGCAAAGGAGAGAGAAGTGGGAGGTGGGACGAGGTGGCAAAGGAGAGAGAAGTGGGAGGTGGAGACGTGGGAGAAGGCGGAGAAGCCGGAGGTGCGGGAGGTAGGACTAGGTGGGACACGTGGGCTAGGAGGAGGAGAGATGGAAGAAGGTATGGAAAAGACCAGGTGCGTCAGGTGGATGACACGTGGATCTGGTTTCTCTCTGGTAGATTAGGTGGATGTGGACATTGAGGGGGAGGAGAAAGTGAAAAGGTGAAAGAGACGAGGACGTGGAGGAAGAGGAGGAGGAGGAGGAGANNNGGGTTCGAGCTTGGCTCGAATCTTGATGGGATGGGAGGTCGCCTCATATTCCAGGACACCCACAACCTACTTATCCAGGTGATCACTGTGTACACCTGTCTCTTATACACATCTAGATGTGTATAAGAGACAGGGCGGGGGAAGCTGGAAGGCGAGCGATCAAAAAGGAGGATGAGTCCCTTCGAGCGAGGGCGGGAAGATGGTCGCCGGTGGTGGCGGGAAGACGATTTCCCGCCATTGGGACTCGATTCCAGAGCGGGGATCGTTCGTTTCTGATTGGGACAGATATTAAGGGATTGCAGGACATTGAATGGTGGGAGATCGGGATCAAGAGAGGCGGGAAATTTGGTGGCGGGAAACTGGGTGGCGGGAAACGGTGTGCTAATCATACAACGGGAAGAATGGCGGGAAGTTGGAATCAAGAGAGGAGCGACGACGAGGAGAAGAAAGAGTAGACGATCAGAAAAACAGGGAGAGGAGGCGACTGCGCTGAAACTCACCTCGTCCGCCATGATGTAAGGAATCTTATACGACCTCTCTCAGCTTGGACTGTTGATTGCTCGACTAATTACCCACCTCCACCCTGCCCTTATCTTGTCCTCACACTTTTCCCTCCCTCAATGTGCCTTGCCTTATTAACACTATCCTTCCCTCCCCCCTCTCAATTCCGTCTCCCTTCCATAACGACCCTCTCTCTCTCTCTCTCTCACACACACACACACACAGACAGTGGCCGTGTTCTTGTGCGATTGCAGTTCAGCGTTTATGTATGTGAATGTAAGTGTAACATCACAAAATTAGCCGTATCCAAAGAAAGAGATTAATAAATATAAACCCAGTCAGCCGGTAGCTGCCTATAGCTGGAGCCACGGCCACGCAAAGGGAACCGCCTTGAAGAATGGATATATAACAACTTAGTTACTTAGCAATACTGTAATCGCTTCGACATAGCGTCTCAGTTGCCCGGCCGGCATAAGCTCCGCCCCACCAACAAGCTATTGCTTTTCGCGCGCCAATTCGGGTTCGCGTTGACCCTATTTACCCCCTTTCCGCGCGCTTTTCTGTCCTTCACATTTCCTTTCGGCGCGCTCGTCTGTCCCTCCTTTTCGCGCGCTTTTCCTGTCCTTCATTTCCTTTCCACGCGCTCTTCTGTCCTTCCTTTCCGCGCGCTCTTTTCTGTGCTTCGCGTTGACGGAGAGCCAACTGTAGGACAGCACGGGCGGTGCGAAGAAGAGAGACAGCACCTACCCTCCCTGTAGTGCACGGGGGGCCCAGGGCCCGCTACTAGCAGCGTTGAGCTACCTCAACGCCTGAATCTGGACGTGTTTGGGGAGAGGTGCAGTTCAGGAAACTCAACACCATTTCTGCACATCTCGGCAAAACCGTCCACATTCAGGCGTTGAGGTAGCTCAACGCTGCTACTGTAGTGGGACCTGGCCCCAGGACAGAGTGAAAAGTGAATATCCAAACCCCCGCGCCCAAAACCAAAAACAAAAAAAAAAACAAAAAAAAAAACAAAAAAAAAAACAAAAAAAAAACACGCCTTCCGGTACGAACTACACAAGGGAGCCTTCCAGGAAAGTGCGGGAAAGATACCCTCGCTGCCGCAGTCACCCTATCGACAAAAGCTATAGCGGATGCACCTCTCGACGATTTAGCGGTAGATGCACGGTCGGTTTTTTTCACATTTGGTCAGTAGCGCCACGTCGCCCTCACCACACGGAAACCACATGGTAACCGCGCGGGGAAGCAGGCGGTGGCACGATTCTTTTTTTTCTTTTTTTTTTTCCTTACAATTCCATTCCACCACTACTACCGGAAGGGAAAAAAAAAAAAAACGAAACCACATGGTAACGCGCGGGAAGCAGGCGGTGGCACGATTCCATTCCACCACTACCGTACCCTCGTTCGCCCGAATACACTGAAAGATACCCCAAATTCGGCAATTATGACCGTATAATGACCGTGCGTCGTATTCGGGTGAAGGAGGGCAGTTCCGACTGAATCTCGATGTTCCAACAGAAGATGGAAATGGAGTTCCCAGCCCCCCCGTTTCTCGAACCGTCGATCTCGATAGTCAACCCTCTCGGACCGACCCCTGCTCGTCTCGTTTTTCTTTTTCCCCTTTTGAGCAAGGCGAGCCGGTTGAGATCTCATCTCATGAGCAAGCGGCCTAGCTCAGCTTGTTAGCCACGCAAGTGGCATTCAGGAGGTCGTGGGCTCAAACCCTCAACCCCCACGATATGTGTGTGTGTGTGTGTTTGTGTGTGTGATATCTGAGTAGGGGAGGTAGATGGGATGCGCAGCTACTGTCAAAATGCTTGGTCTTTGTGTTAGCCGGTCCCACACAAGTGGCCCCGCCCTGCTACCTGACCGCTGCTGATTCGGGTGGGGGCAGCAGGCATCCTTTTCATTGTGAGAGGTAGCTATGCTTGCAGGGGTTCCCTGAATAGGCTTAGGAGCAGTGGCAGGTAGGTAGGTAGTGAAAAAGGTGAATTTGAGAGCAGAACATAGACGAGTTTTCTCTAAACCATGAACTGAGGGGGTGGAAAAAATAAAAAATAATATTCAGAACAGAAATAAATCAGAATCTGAACACAGCACCCCGTCAGACGAAATCAAATGGACCGCAACGAGGAACAGCCTGGCATAGTGAAAGTAGACTGGCAAGCCAAAGGACTGACGATCTATAGTTGGAACGTCAACGGCTTGGGCAACATTCTCATTGAGGACGACAAACTACGAGACATAAGACTCGGCCTCACAGACAAAAGAAAGCCCAAACCCGACGTCATCCTTCTACAAGGGACCCATCTATCCAACCTCACCAACCACACCAGAATGAAGAGGATTGTGGAAAAGAGCCTAGGTGGTTGCCCTTTCACACTGTGGTCCAACAAAGCGGACCAAAGCAACCGCGGCACAGCGATCCTTGTACCAACTACTTCCAAAATCTGGTCGGAAGGACAGGTAAGCAACGGCGAAGGCGACACAGCAGAAGGAAGATGGTCATGGATCCAAATCACATTGCAAGAGGAAGAGATCAGAATCTTGAACATATACCGGCCCCAACACGGAAACCGAACATCTAGTTTTCTTTGAACACATCAAATCACTCTTCCCGAGCCCCGTACCGTTAATCATAGCAGGCGACTGGAACACCATGTTGGATCCCAGCCTGGACCACATTTCCCGGACAACGCTGCTGGGACCCACACGAGCGAGCACACACCCGCGGAATATTATGACGGAGTTCGATCGGTGAACCCTTTTCGAATCCTCCACCCACGCAAGAAAGTCTTCTCCCTAGTCAAAAGGAACCGATCTAACCACACATCACTATCATAAATCGGCTTCTTCCTAATTTCCGACATGTTGCAGAGAGCAGTCAAGGAGACCGATATCCTTCCAACAACAGCCTTCAAGGGGCTCAATCACAAATTGACCTACCTGCTCCTGAACTTCAACTCTCCGGTAGAAAAAAGGCAAGGTTTCTTTAGACTTAACAACTCGCTTCTCTCCACAAATCGCATGACAGAGGCAGGCAAATGGAACAGGGTCTTCCTACAACAGGACGAGATGAAACGTCGGAACAAGCACAAGTGGTTCCTATGTCTAACGGTCTCAGCAGAGTCTATAAAATTGAAGCATAGCAGCAGAACGCAAAATCAAGAAGAAAGAATTACAAATAATTCTCGACATTGCGAAAACCAACCTCGCATCAGATTCTGCCAACTCCTTCTATCACGACCTACTCCAATCTACCAAGTACGAATTACATGAATGGAAATGAGAACCCAGGGACCTACAAATACGCGCCTGAATAAATGACCACACCTTGAATGAATCCATATCAAAATTCTTCTTTTTCAAAATTAAGGCCAATGCAAGGAACAACATGATCGAGAGATTGAAGGACCCAACAGACCAGGGGAACAGCAGAGACATGGTAAAAATAGTCAAATTTTTCTACGTCGACCTCTACGAGTCCAAAACTACCTCCCCCCCCAAGTCAGCGAACATCAACGTCCGTCAGCAAATGATGACCCACCTAGAGAGAACAATTACCCAACAACAAACGGAGGACCTGGACAAACCAATCACCCTAGGGGAACTGCGTGCAGCCTTGTCCCATATGGGAAATGGTAGAGCACTAGGAATCGATGGACTGCCCAAGGAATTATGGATTCGGTTCTGGCCCACACTCATAAATGACTCCTGAACTTTATTAATGACAGCAAGGACAAAACAGACCTGGCTCAATCTCTAAGCATCAGCATAGTCTCACTAATGTACAAGAAGGGTGACAAGGAGGACCTCAAGAACTACATATCAATCTCACTTCTCACAACGCCTTACAAAATCTTAGCAAAGGCATTAGCGAACAGAATCATAAAACTAACAGACAAATGCTTTCACATCGACCAAGCAGGTTTCATTCTGGGTTGATATATCATGGATAATGTGATGGCTCTAAATGAGGTTGCGAAGAAGATCACAAAAAAACGAATGCAAGCGGCTATCCTATTTTTTTATTTCGAAAAAACCTATGATCAAGACAATTGGGACTTCCTACACAGTTGTATGGAGAAGACGAGAGTTGGCCCAAACCTCAGAGAATGGGTAAGAGTGCTCTATGAGGATGTCACGGCCAGGGTGCAGATAAACAGAATAATGTCAAAAACCTATCTAATATCGAAATCGGTCTGTCAAGGCGAACCCCTTGCACCCCCTTGTTTTTATTCTTGTTCACAATGAAAGTCATTGCATATTTCCTCCGCGAGGATCCATCCATAGACTGTCTGGCTGAACAAAACCACAACCCCTTCCACGGCTTCGTTTTTTCCACTGCACAGATGTTCACAGATGATCTCACGGTCCTTATTCTCGCTAGTAATTCCTCCTTCTTCGCCCGCGCTATGGAAGCCTTCAAACTCGCCTCAGAAATTAAGGTAAACTGGTCGAAAATGCAATGAGGTGGCTTGCACAAGGCACCCCCCCCCCAACCTCCAGACTCATCCACCCCAATGTCATGGACCACAGGCGACCAAACACTCAAGATACCTGGGCATTATGGTAAATAGACATAGCATTTGGCAAGGTATGGGGGAGACTTTAATCGCTAGAGTTATAACCCGTTTAGCCACCTCCCAGCTACGGAGAACCTTGATCATCAACACAACAGTATTCTCCACCCGGTGGTATATGGCCTCCATATGGTCCCCTCCCGACGACGACCTGAAAAAGCTGAAGGTTAGAGTCAGGCGTTACCTGTGGACTTGCAGAGACGAAAATCAGGAGCAGATGGTGGAGAACAGTCAACTCTATGAGACACATAAGTGGTATAATTATTCGAAGTATTTTAACTAAAATGCCAATTATAAATATTCACTTTACTAAGAAATAGATTGTATTGTATAAGAAATATATATATATTTTTAATAATTTATAACGAAGCATTTTAAAGGTTGTGATATCAACTTGAAGAATTGCTATCCGTGCAAGCATCTTACGATTCAATAATACTTTGTGACTATGAATAATGAATATTATATTAATAATAAATACAACAAATTTTAAAGTAAGGAATTTCTAAAAAGAATATCAGAAGGACAAGCAACCAAGAAACAACCTTCATGAGGAACTAGCTGCTAAAAGACAAGGTGGCAACGATAGTTGAAAACAGATTGAGGTGGAAGAAATGGCACCAGGCACAATCATGAAGTCTACAAGGTCTCCTGCTGGGTGCCCTGGTAGAAGGCAAAGAAGGCCCCGAAGGGGGATCAACAACAAGGCAAACTGGACACACAATGATGGACAAGGACATGCAACAGAACACTGAGTGGACCCCCCCACTCTTCTCATTTTGCAGGGACTCTATTCGACAGGCTCTGGATAGAAGCCTGAGAGGAAGTGGTCAGGGCAAACTGACAGTCA